ATTTGTAATTATACTCACTACAGTGCATGCTGTACTAGCTGTCTCTTATACACATCTAGATGTGTATAAGAGACAGATATTATATTATTATATTGTAAGTTTTTTTCAGTCTTCTGCAATATTGTTTACAAACATCACTGTTGTGCAATTCATGAATGATAGAACCAAACGATCGTCAACAAACCAAAAGCAACACGAATTTAGTGCAAAAAAACCAAGATTTAATTAAAGTCAGACATGCTTCTTCTGTATCACACAGATATCACCAGTAATCAAAATAAAACATAACCAAAGAACCTAGGCTACACTACTTACAATTATATACTACGTGACGGTTTGCATGATGATGTCGGGTATAATCATACCCGCATCAGGGTGGTGCAACTGGGGGAGCTGTGTTCTGTAACCAATAGTGTGCAAGAAGAAATAAAGGTTTGTTTTCCTAATTGAACTCAGAACCTATGATCGAAAAGGTAAGTACCGGCTTAACTGCTAATTACACTTATAGATCGGTGATTAAAGTTTGTTAAAATACTATATAAAGCTTGATAATAATAATTATTAAAAATTTAATTGCTTGATTTGTATATTTCACGGTGACAGTTTTCTTCTTTTTTTCTTTTTTCTTTTTCTGGAGGACTGTGAGCCAGGCCCTTAATATTAATACTGGAACACTAAATCTCCGCACAATCAGTTTTTGGTTTGCTCTACCAGTTTAGCACCAATCAGAAATGAACAAAATTGAAAACAATCATACCAGATCCTATTTGAAATTTTGAAGAGCGCCACACCACCGAGATCGAAATATGGACGCCATGTTTCGTCGTTTTTCTCAAAGAAGTGAATAGAAAGCCATTTTCAAAAATAAAATGCGTTTGATTGCTTGTGTTTTGGTTTCACCTGTGCTGCTTAACTTTTAAACTCCAAGGTATGAATTTGTTTGAAATTTAATAAGTAATGAGTTTGTAAAGTATGATCTAATGATGTGTGTTTCTTTTTCGTTTACGTACAAATTTCAGATATTCCATCATGAAGTACCGACGTTTTCGTCGGGTGCTAGGCCGACACACGGGTCGCGCCCAGACAATGTTTCAAATAAAATGTGTTAAATCTTCTCTGTTTAAGACTGTTAAATATTTTAATAGATGAAGTTTATTTTATTTTATTGTAATGATACCCAAAAGTTAGTGTATGAAATTGTATTTTGTTCCTAAACGTTAAAATTGCTTGTTAAACCATATCATTGGTTGCGTTGTATCCTGTTTGTATTGTACTGTACGTCGCCTAGCCTAGGCATGTTTATATAGACCACCTAGGCCTAGGCCTAGCCTAGGCTTTCATCATGTGACCCACTATGTTTTGTGCCTTTGTGCAGGGAGGTAACATTTATACCTTGGTGGTGTATAAAGGGGGAAAAAACCTTCCTCTGTAGTAGTAGTAACTTTTGACAAAGGACCAGGATGATGATTTACAATGCAATTGAGAATTAAATGTTTTATCAATCAACAATAATTAGGCTATCTAGGCCTAGGCTAAAGGCCTAGCCTAGGCTATAAATAGTAACAATTATTATTTATTTAACTTTTTCTTCAGCACCAAAAATAAAGATATTTTATTTTATTTTTTTCAAACATCATCCAACAGCTACAGTAAAGCCAATTACATGATGTATTATGTACCAAAAAAAACCATAAAAAGTGCTATTCAATTATACAACAAGTGAATAATTAATTATAAACATTATTAAATTGGAATTTTTTTAAGTTTAAAAAGATATTAGATAGATAAACATTACAAAAAAGGACAGAGGGAACATGATATCCTTTATGTAAAAACATTAAAAATTCTGTACAAAGGATTTGAAATTACTGACACAATATTGAAAATTTAGAAATAATTATATTATTGCATATGCATAAAAATACAAATATAAATATATATAAATACAAACTTTTTTTAGCCTCAGATATTGCCATAAAGAACTGATGAATAGAGTGAGCTTTGGAAATGGGTTAATTGGTATTTGATATCTAGAATAAGCTATAGGCTGTTTAAGAGTTAATTTAGTGCACACAAGGATCTAAATTTAAGTTGTACAGAGGACTGAAAATATGGTAAGCAATAAAGTAGAAACAATAATTTAAGTAGGCCTTAGTTTCTGTATTTTATTTATTGATTTATTTATGATTATTTCTGTTATATGATAGAGTTTAGACATTTTATAACCATATCATTATTGTTTTTTGTTAATATAATGCTTTTTAAAATGTATAGTTAGTTATCATTATTCCTTTTTTGTTTTGAGAACAGGCCCTAGGCCTAGTTAGTAGATTCAAAAATAATTGTAATTATTATTATGTTTCTTTTTAGGGCCATGGTAGTAGAAGGCCTTTGTGGGCTTGCATTGACTTCTGCTGTATCGATGAGTGCCAGGGAACTGAGTGAGAATGACGATCTTGCAACAAACCTTACACTTGACCCATACTTGGGGTTTACCACCCATAAGATGAATCCTAGGTAGTGTACCTGTAACCTATATTATTTTTATGTTTTGCCCACAAATGTATTTTTGAGTTTCTAATGTTTTATGCATTAGATATTCACCCAAACACACAGTAGTTCTTGCGCCTGGAAGGCACACACACACAGACAGACACAACATAGACGTGTGCTGTTGCAATACCCTTCACCTCTCCTTTTGAGAGGTAAGGGTAATAATAGAAGGGTACTGATCAAATAGCACTGATATTAAATGTTTGTATCAATTCAATGTCATATGAATTGCTCTGTTTGCTTTTTATTTTCATAAAGTATGCTTTCCCTTTTTAAAATGATTATTTATTTTCTAAAAATAGGTTCCGACCTGTTGGACCGAAACCAGAGGTTTTAAGAGATATTTTGCAAAGATTCAAGAAGAATAACAATTATGTGGAGGCTTATGAAAGGTACATGTCCGGTGAATGGGCAAAGGTGCACTTCCTGAATAAATCAAAGCAGCAGGTTCGAGCCACCAAGGAGCATGTAAGTTTTTTTTTTTTTTGGCAGTGGCTATTGTTACACTAGATGAATGAATCTTTCTTTCTGACATATTATTCACATGATAATTTAAGTGTTTGCCACAAATACTGGAATTTATCCTGTATATTATGTTGAAATGTCAACATCCTCAGCTCCTTTTCATTTGTACACTATTTCCCTGTCTGATTAAATATTTGCTTTTTATCTTACAGATTTTTCGTTACTTGGCAATGTTTGATGAAGAGGCTGGATTTGAGGTTGTACCCTGTTATCGTTATTCTCTTGAGGGCGCTGGTGGTAAAATACTAGCAACAAGGGAATGGTATGTAGTAGCTGTGCTGACCCTGCAAATATGAATAATCCATCTAGTAGTTTTGACATCACCTAAGCAAATAATCTTTCCTATCACAGAGCATATTTTATGAAGTACATGATATTCTGGTAGCATATATACAGTCCCATAGGCTTTCAGAGCAGCTTAGCTCAGTCGGCTAAACTGGTGGTAGCCACTGTGTGTGCGCTGAACCGTGGAGATCTCTTGGTCCCCGGTTCAAATCCCATCGCTGCTCTCCTTGTATTTCAGTTGGAGGGCTGGAATGCAAGTTATGATAGTGCACCATGAGTCATCTAAGCAGTTGGTCCCATGTGCATTATGGCCCATGTGCATGTTAAATAACGCATTACACCACCCTCTTCTGAAAAGAGTAGGGGATTGTCTCCCAGTGTACTGTCAAATATTCACCAGAGTGACCCCACAGACTTTCTTGGGTTATCCTTGGTGTTTTGGCTGAATAAATCCATTATCCATCCATCAATTTTATTTGTTTCTGCCTTGATCTTTGACATACACATATGTAAGAAATATACAAAGATTTCTTACTTAATATTTTTCCCGTACATAGGTACAAGAATGACAAGATTGAATTGCTGGTTGGCTGTATTGCTGAGCTGACAGATGAAGAGGAGAACACGTGGTTGAAGCAGGGTGTTAATGATTTCAGCGTTATGTACTCCACTAGGAAGAACTGTGCCCAGCTATGGCTGGGCTCTGCAGCATTTATCAATCATGGTAGGGCCTAGTATTATTATTACTATGGTAGTAGTTGATTAATCTCAATGTGAAATGCTGTATGTAAACCAGCTAACTTTCCCATGCTTTCACATCCAAACCAAACTTACTGTAAGAACAGTTGTGTGTAATTATGCATGTGGCATGTAATGTTTATGTTGTGATTTCTCTATTATTATTATTATTATTATTATTATTATTATTATTATTATATTATTATTATATTATTATTATTATTATTATTATTATTATTTTTATTATTAAAATTGTTATTATTATTTCCTTGTTTATTTTCAACAATATGTAGATCAAAAGGAAGTAAATTGTACTGTTCAACCGGCAAAACCTGGTCCATATATTTAATAACTTAGGATAGGGTAAATGATGTTTATACTATATCATGATGTACAAATGAAGTACCAAGCATTGTATTTGCAAAAAATGCTATAATAATAACAATGATTTGTAAGGCGCAAACATCACCACCAAAGTTGGTGCTCAAGGTGTAGTGTGTAAAACAACAGCAGGGAACAAATAAGAATCACAAACATCAAGAAAAATGAAATCAAAATTTTCCCACTTCTGCAGTAAGGTCTGCCCATTTTGGGGATTTTCCAGCTACTGTGGGGAAAAGCCCAATATATAAATATACAACAAATTTCGAGAAAATCTTCTAAAATGTTTAGATAATACACTTTGAAGAATAGCATTGAAATGCTAAACAAGATATTATGTTTACATTGCAAGCATATCTGGTTCTATTGTTGTTATTACTGACAATGCTAATTCCATTTTCATTGTTGCTTATTGACTAGCTCTGAATTAGGATGTGAAATGGTTGATTAGGCTCATTATTTGAAATTAATTCAATATAAATATTCTATCTTTATTGGTTTGAATTATGGTAGTACATATGATTAGGCCTATATGATATCTATTTCCTTTTCGTATCATGATACACCTTTTATTGAGTTGTTGCACACAAAAAAAAAATTGAAATATCTGTTGCGTTTTGTTTTTCAGATTGCAGACCTAACTGCAAGGTAAGTATTATTATGTATACTATTAAACCTAGCTATGATGCTTATGAGATTTTGGTATTGACATAAATTAATAATTAGCAGAGTGATATATCCAGTACATTTGATTAAAAAATAAAGCTTTGGAGGACTCTATTCGCCTCCAAATGGGAAAAGCCAGCCAAAAAAAATACCACTACAGTATTAAACTGTTCTAAAAAGGAGGTTCAGCTGACCCTCACTCACTTGGTTACAGGCCTGCCTTCCTAGAATTAAATCAATGAAATACGTTGAGATTTATGTTATCTTACAAATATTCTTTGATTTGCATATGTGTGATCATGCAGGTTTCACTTCCTTATATGCGCATGAAGATGTCATTATCACACATATTCGTCACGATAGTTAATGAGTGTGAACAGACAAACCTATGATATTTAAGTCGAAATGTTTTTGTACCTTGTTATGCAAACTTATTTTTTAAAAGTCCTTCAAAGGAGAGTCGTCTACAGTAGGTTGAAGAGAAAATATATATAGCATTTTATGGATAAACAAAACAAAATTCTTGTTAAATTGCTTGGTGATAAAAAGAATGCAATGTAAACAGTTTAGTAATTTGGTAAATTATCTTGCTCTCCCCCCACAGTACTTAACTGCAGCAGTGGGAAACGCCACAAAAAAAAAAAGAACGAAAACGATGCCTTTTTTGCTGTAACTAGAAAAGAATAACATTTTAGGGGTTTGCTGCACTATTTGAATCTCTCATCTAGACATAAATAATATATAATTTATTTGGTCTGCAAATTTGTATTGACTCAGTGAGTTTGATTTCCAGGAACACTCCTGAGTGAGTGAAGCTTGCTGTACATTGTGTACATGAATAAGTCCAATGATGAGGGCTAATGTGACCTTTGTGTTGCTGCGTGGGCCAGTAATTTATTTGAATCAATATTCAAGGTTGATTGATTAAATAATTTGAGGTTGAAGTACTGTTTACTTGTCTGAACTCTAGCTCTGCAAATTGAAATAATCATTAAATTAAATGAAATTATACCAGTACATAACTTGTATGATTTTAAATGAATGAAAAGTAATTTAAAATCAATATCCCCAGGTTCAAGTTTAACTCAGAAGTGTTTCTTTAATAAAAAAAAAAAAGGTTATGTTAAAATACCACTACAGTAGTAAACTGTTCAAAAAAGGGGTTCAGCTGAAACTTCCCCCTCTCTCAACTTGGTTACAGGCTTGCCTGCCTTGAATTAAATCAGTGAAATACATCTATGTTATTTTCCAAATATTCTTTAATTTGCATATGTGCGTGCATGAAAATTTCATTACTTTCTTATATGGGCATAAAGATGTCATATCACACATATTTTTCACCACAGTTAATGTGTGTGAACAGAGGTTAATTAAGACAAACCTTCTTTTCTCATTGCAGTTTGTCTCAACTAGTCGCAATACAGCTTGTGTCAAGGTATTGCGTGATATTAAAAAGGGGGAGGAAATCACTTGTTTCTATGGTGATGGATTTTTCGGTGAAGACAACTGCTGTTGTGAGTGTGAAACTTGCGAAAGGTACAGTATAAATTATTTCAATTTTATTTCAATATTGCACAGAAAGTGTGACTGTCATGAATGAGTGAATACGTTCTAGGGCCTGTTTCTGCTGCTTATCCTCAAAATATGGTATAAAATATACCGTATTAAAATACAGTATCTAAAATCCAGTGTCCTATTACTGCTAAAAGGTGGTCGTGTTAAAAGGTCCTCTTCATTACCCAAAATGCCTTTCGTGAGACGGAAGTTTGGATTGACCTGTGTAGTGAGTTTTCTTCTTCTCGATAAACATGGTTTTTTTAAAGAATGTTGTAGTTTTGGTTTCATCTATTTAGACAAGCTGACAGAAAAATCAAAACACAACCCCGCACTATGCTCTGTTGACTCTTGACCTTATGTCAGGGGTCATACAAAATATGGTATTTTTATAGGCAGCAGAAATTGGGTATGAAAAATATGGTATCTGTTGCAAAATACCAGCATAATTAAACAAAAATACTATGGAAAAATGCCGTATATAAAATAAGGTATATTTTTATGAGCCCCATTTCTGCTGCAAAAAAAATAACATATTTTAAAAATACTGTATATATATATACGGTATTTTTTTGGCAGCAGAAACAGGCCCCTAGAGTCATGTCGTCTTGCAAATATTACGCTCCCTAATATTCACTCTAATACTATTTATTTCTTTTTTTGCATTCTAATATGCATTATAACTTCTTGTTCCTCTCTTATTTCTTCCAGTCACATTCCAATTTATTTTCCATTTAATTTTAAAAAATTTTTCTCTAAACATAATTTTTCAGGATTCATTTATTATTTTATATATTTTATACAATAGAAGACAGAAAGGTGCTTTCAAGCGAAATGAAACACTGGAGAAGACACCAGAAGGGAAGAGTAATTATCGTTTTCGAGACACTGATGGACGTATCTTGCGAATGAAGAAAGAACAAAATCCGGTCAGTCCAAGACGGTCTTTAAATGGCACCACTAAAAGACCTATAAGCAAATATGGTATGCTACCCATTCAGTTTCAGTCAATTCATTTCCTTGGTAGCTAAATTTTAGACCTGTAAAGCATTTAATTTCAATGACTAGTTTTGGATTTCTGACATGGGGATCTATTTTTGGTAGTATATTAGTCATTAATTAGATGTAATTGATAATGATTATGATTATTATAGTGATGTCACACCTGGACAATTGTCAACTAGACACTTCTAAATTCAAGGTTTCTACATGATTCAAGGTTTTAACTGATGAATTGTATATAAAATAACTTCATAAACTATATAAATCAAATGTTTAGAGTGTATTTAAAAGTTATGTATTTATGCTTATATAAATTTATATTTTCTTGTTATCTTCTTTTTCAAAGACAAACTAAGGAATAGAGGGGATGTAGAGTTACCAAACATGTCAGTATCACCAACATCAAAAGATCTTGTTGACGTAGTCGCGGAACGAAAAGGAATTGCGCGATGTGATGCTCAACTGTTATTGGCTGAAGGCTACAAACTCCCAGAAGCCAAACTCGTAATTACGCCAACAAAAATTATACCATCTAACACCAACAGTCTTCTTGAAAGTGAACCAGACTGTTATCAACCCAAGCAAAACACAATAATGGACTATCGATTACAAAATGTTTTGGAACAGGATAGTGGTTGGCAGTCGAGTGGATCGGATAGTGAGATCAGTTTCAAATTCACCTCATCAAAACATTTAAAGCAAAGAAAACTAAAGAAAGCAAAACATTCGCGATTACACATTACCTACGAATCTGAAATTTCAGACTGTGAGACAAAACTGAAAATCAAAGGGATTTCTAAACTGAAATTTTACAACCAGGCAAGTAATTCTTGTGGAAGCTTGAAAAAGAAAAATGAAGAAAAGTCATTTGAGCGAAACTGTGAAACAGACGGTGAATCAGATGGAAATGATGATGATATTTTATGCGATCATGAGCAAAGTGTCAGAAAACGACAACCAGTGCATTACAATGCAGAATTGATAAACCAAACCAGTACTAGAATTCCCAGATTGAGGATAACAATGAGAAACACAGACTCAAAATTACTATCCAAATCAAAAAATGATAAATACTCAACGACAGATGACAACAAACGGGTAACACGGGGAAAAAAGATTCCAACCCCCGGTACCAGAAGTGTAAGAAAGTCTACCGAAGAATCAAATAACTTTTCAAATGAATTTCATACAAAAACATTGACACCTACTAACGGCAAGAGACGCTCATCACTAAATTTCTCACCAAGACCATCCCAGGTACAGCACCGCACAGGACGTTCAAACTCTGAAGATTACAGATTGTCGGGGAAGACTTTTGATATGGGTTTAACATATTCGTCTGTTGTCGACACGCCACATACGATCAAATGTTCAGTAGAATCACCAAAACCAAAGAAACGTAAAGCAATCCATCCGCAGATGTTTGAGTAATCTTGTCTCAGTAACCATATTCCATAAATCGGCGAGATATTCTTATACCACGTTTAGCGGTTTTTGTAAGATCATCAGAGGAGGGGGAGGGGAAAGATTTGTTTTCTTATTATTTTAGCAAAATTGTTTTGCCAAAACATCTAGGAGATTACAATTTTATTTACGGATAAAAAATTCGAGTACAGTATGTGGGGTTAAAAAAAAATAAATCGTAAAAAATAAATTTTAACAAATCGTAAATAATGCAATAATACGATGTAACTAATCGGATTGATAAATCTGTTAAATTTACATAATTTAGAAAGAAATAAAAATTTCTTATTATTGGGAGATTTCAATTTGGTGTCAGGCCTTCCATTTGGGTCAGGCCTTGCATTTTATGTTTGCAGTGGATGCACTTAGTGGCCAAAAATGAAATTTCATTTTATTCTTTGTCATCATTGGTGCCTGGCGGGTTTGGAAAACAAGGTATAAAAAATTCTCACCTTAACAGGAAGAAATCTTTGATATTTTTGTCATTGTAGATTTATCTATTATCAAAATGGGTGTGATTGAACTTCTCTTTGCTTTAGTGGAAAATTGTTTACACATTTAGAAAATTTGCTTATTGTTTCTTCCGGCCCTAAACAGTCTTACAGTTCTAAAAATCTTAGTGAAATAAAATGAATTAAAGTAATTGTGTGCAAACAGCTTATCTAGCATATTGTGATATTTTGTCAGAATAAAAATGTTGGGAGGGGGTATTGCATTATCTTGCCATTTGTTCTGTTTCCACTGTAGTTTATTTTTTAGAGAAGTCAGTTCTTTATTCGTAAGGAGCAAAACAATTTTTAAACCACCTTTTTGGGAAAATGAAAAATACCGCATTAATAGCATATATGCCATGTTTATAGCATATTTATGCCATGTTACCATATATGTCATATTGATAGCATGTATGCCATATTGATTGCATTAGCATAAATGTAATAATGGTAGCATTAAGCCATATTCATAGCATTCCATTATGTCATAATAATAGCATATTTACCAATGATAGCATATGCATCATATTGATAGCATACTTTAAAACATGCCATTGATAGCATTATGTCATATTAACTGCATATATGTCATACTATTATCATATGTATATATGCCATATTAATAACATACTGGTATATGTCATATTAAGAGCATATTTGTCAGTGCATCTTATTGATAGCATATATGCCATATTGATAGCATGTCATATTGATTATATATGTCAATAAGAGCACACACACACACACACACACATAAGACGTCATATGGATAGGATACATGCCATAAATCCCATATTAAATAACTATCATTGATTATAACATATACCATCTTGCATATAGACATAATGATAACACAAATGCCATGTATTGTGTATGTTGTAGTAAAGGGAACATACCAAATTTAACCATGTTAGAAATTGGTCACATGTTTCATGATTTAACATTATTGTTGCACACATAGGTATAGCTTCTTTTTAATTTTTAAGTACTGTACTCTATTTAAGGTAGTCCTATACATGATAACACTGTTCTTGATAGTTGGACCCACATGCAATAGAGTGCCATATGCTGCAATTAAATTGCCACTTACAAAACATTTTCTTTTTGAAATAAAATAGTCAAAATAATGTTCTTGGAATCTGGGAGCATGTATTGTGCTTGAAATGAAGTTGCCAGATTTGAATTAAGTTTGATGATTAGTAAATAGGTAAAAGTTGAAATTGTTTAATTTTATTTTGGGCTGGGAAAAAAAATTCTCTACTGTGTTCAACTTAGCTTCTCTGAATCAAAAATTTCCTGGTACTGTATATGTATGATACATTTTTGTGTTATTACATTTCTTTGCTGCATGGATAGAATTCTTGAAATTTTTTCAGCCACAAGCATATAGTTCCACTACCAGAGGCTGGCTTGCTTTCCCTGGAAGTCTCTATACCCGATTTGAAGTCTCCTTAGAGTAAGGTAGGCCTACACTAAATTCAAAATATTAAAATTTTATTTTAAACCACCATAGCAGAATGGTGTTCATTTTTATGATTTTTCTAAATAGTGGTAAAAACCTAATTATTAAAAATAATGTAAATAAATGTACATATATTTATGATGCTTGTAGGCTAATGAAGGAATCTATTCCATGTACAAATATTGATTTTGAGTTAATAGTTTGCCAGTTGTATTTCCAGAGAGTCTGTAGAACCATCAGATGTCAACTTGGGATATGCAAAAACATTCCAGGAACATTGTCTATTTAGTGGAATAAATTAAACTTGGAATATTTTTAATTTTTTTTTGTAATTTAATGTATTGAGCTTCAGGTTTTTGGTTGTACAATAAACTTAGTTGTGACCTTGCAAGAATTTAACAGAAGTCCGAAAAAACACAAATAACCTGAAATTACACTAATTCCCCAAATTCATCCCCACCCTCTTTGGCGTCTAGAGGAATTTTCCTCATCGCTGAGAAGCATAAACCTCCTGTAACATGCTACACATATATCACTTCCAATACTATGCGACACTACAGTACTTTATCACTACATCATCCATTGGCTTATGTTCCCCCATCTTAATGCCAGCCCCACACTCACGAATAGCCACAGCATAGCAGCTCAGTTTGCTAAACCATTGAGATCCTTTTAAATCTTTGGTTCCTATTTCAAGTTCAACTATCTCACCATCTTTTGAAAGAGAAGTTTAATCTACTGGTCCAGGTACAATAAGCTTTTTACAACAATGCAGTTCACTCCCCAGAAAAGAGCTGGAAACGCTTTTTGATGTACTGCCCAATCCACCACCAGAACCCCACAGGAAATAATTATTCAGACTTTCTTAAGCTATCTTTGATGTATTGAACATAAAAGATATGTAATCTAATCCGACAAATACCCCATCTCACAATTAACCACACATCACTGGCCTGCTTATTAACAACCTTAATCCAACAGATACACCATCTCACAATTATAACCCACACTAATTTCTCACAGGCACAATTATATCAACAGCCTAAAACCAACATACATCACCCCTCTCTCATCTTACCCTTTACACAAACAAAATAATGACTGTTAAGCATCATTATCAATGGCCTGCTTAACCACCATACATCACCCCTCTCTCATCTTACCCTTTACACAAACAAAATAATGACTGTTAAACATCATTATCAATGGCCTGCTTAACCACCATACATCACCTACATGCTACCTAAACAAAATAACTACAGTAAACATCGTTTTTATACATATTTGTTTTAATTTCAACTTTATGCAGCAAACTTGCTTATGTCTATTGACATTAAGATAACATTATATCAAGTTTTATTAATAATTTACATTACACAGTTATTTTGCTTACAGCTTTTGACAAAGTTATATGAACTTGCTTTGCAGAAGATAACTGCTTATTCGGGTGTGTAATTCACTAAGTATAAGCAATTTATATCAAGCAGCAATAATACAATTGAAACAATGTGCCTACAGTGATGTCTTTAAACTTATTTCTACATGTCTTGAATAGCAACTGACTAATCTTCGGTTTGTGGCATTGGAAAAACAAACAACCCCACACCCATCATATACTTATATCACTCGGGTTGCACAATGAGCACATGTGCATTGAAATTTTGCTATAACACATTTACCGCGAGCCGATAGTAGGCTTGCGAGCCGGGCCTTCATGTGAAGTTGCATGAGAAACCCTGCAGCAAACATTAATCCCAGAGCCCAAATTTGGCTACATACACATACTTTGTCATTTCTTGCTACTGAATATACCCCATCATTTATTTACATACATACCATATTTATTTAATTTCTTTCATGATTATTCTCAAGAATAAAAATGCAATAAAGTCATATAAATCCTATTCAAAATAAAAATTTTTCTTACGGAACATAAAAGCAGAAAAGTGTCCATAGTATGGACAATTTGCATACAATTATCATTAGCAATAATCTAAAAATATCTATACATCATTTAATAATATTGATTAAAAATATTATTAATTAAAATCAAATAATTTAGTAATATTTATTGAAACACATTTAAACTGATAGTTGCAGTTTACACATGAAAAAATACTACTCGATAAATTAACTAATTTTATAAGTACACAGTGAGGCTGATTGCTGTAAAAACACCCACATTATGTGTTTTCAAAAGTAATGCTAACCAGGGCTCTTTCACTTAATCACCTAATAAAGATGTTTAAGGACCCTACAGTAGTATTGATTTAGTATAATTTATTTCAAAACCCTGTTTATACATTTCATTAAATGTTCATTACTTTTAATTGGCTATTGCTTTAGAATAATGGATAAGTTAAAAAAAAAAATGTAATGGAGACAGTCCTATGGTAATATATACTAAAATAAAATTTTACAATGATGACAGAAATAACACTGTTGATTTAAATTAATGATGATTTAATGTGAACCTGCATTAATGATGCCACTCATGTTTACAGTGCAAACATGCTGAACCTTTGCATTGTAACTGGCTGTGAGCATAGAAATGTATCTCAAAGCTAAGAGGCTGTACTTTGTTTAAACAGGGAGTTGTTAGTCACTATAACAACTCCCTGGTTTAAACTTCTCTTAAGGCACCTGTCATTATGGACACAAAAACAATGCACGTGCCACAGATTATTCTTATTTTAATGACAATCCATCCTGACTGCCACCGACAAATAGTAGATGGCATCAAGTCCAAGAGTGTAGAGTTGGATTTGTCGGCTGACACAGCGAGTGCCCAGCTTTTCACACACCATGGTTACAAGAAATGTCCAATCACATAAATCAGCCCAAACACAAAAGTAATAAATATGATAAATAGTTTTTTAAAAAATAAAAAAACTGTCCACATAGGGTTCAAAACCAAGACCTTTGGCTACCATTCACTTGCCTTTCTCATTTTTTTTTTTTTTTTTCATTTTTTTTTTGCATAATAGGTAATTAATTTATATTAATCACCCTTTAACACCATTTAGAATTTAAGATCATGGATACGTGTATAAGGAATCTATGTTTAACCAATTGCCAAGTTATAAAACTATTTATTTTTAAGTTCTTTAAAAATATTGTTACTGAATCTCATAACCTCAAGAAAGAGCTACTTTAGATTTAGATTTTTAAAAAACATTTCATCAAATCAAATTAACAGAATCATCACCCTGACATTCGCACACAAAACATTTTTTTTATTTAAAATTTATACAACTTCAAAATATACAGAATATTTTAATTCAAATATCGGCTGTGCTTTCCATTTTATAAAATATATGCAATATGTTATCAACTTTTACTTCATCTTCTTCCTGGTGCTGTCTTTGGGATGACAAGAAACCTTTCTATTTTCGTTTCTAAAAACCTGACAAACGATGCTGGCAGAATAGAACGATACTCGTTATTGTACTGGTAATACTTTTGAGGATTGGCACAAACTTCAAGTAACGCAGAGACAACTTTTCTATCCTGAAATATATGGATTAAAATAATGTAAGTCTGCAAAGATGGGTGAATGGGTGGATGGTACCCAGCAGCAAGAAACAAAAATAGCCTAACAAAGGGGAGATGAGCTCCTCAGAGTCAACGGTCAACAATGCAATATTTTAATTCAAATATCGTCTGCAATTTCCATCTTACGTAAGGTTAGATTAAGTACAGTATTACTTTCTTGGTCTGTTTAATTTCACATTAATGTTTAGTGCATACAGGTCTCCACAATATGTGCTCTTTTAACTCGACACCATTATTTTTATTACAGAGAAAAGTCAAACTTGTCAAGTCAGGATAAAATAGGAAAAAAAATTGCATTGATTATACCTCATCCAAAAAACAGTGTGCTATTAAGCTGTCCTGCTGAAGCAAGGACAGCAGTGATGGGAATGGAACCGGGGACCAATGTTACGTAAACGGTGTGGTTATCACTAAATTTAGCAACTGAGTTGATTTACCTGTAAAATAGCTTGATGTTGATCTGAAGAATAAAGCCTACCATCACGAACAATGTCCTCAATCAGATATTCATATTCCTCTAAAAAAAACAATACAAATTAACAGTGATATTTTAGAACTAGTTGTGAAACACTTTTACAGTTATTGTATCATATGAAGATACAAACTGCTACAACTAAAGTCGGTCATTCACTGCGTCATACGACCGTCGGCCGACGATTCCAACTCTGTTCCCGGTGAGCATTAGACGACACGATGCAGTCTTCTTAACGGATTGTCATGGTGTTGCGTTCCCCACGGAATTGTGTTGGCCTATGATTGTCGGGCACAGTTAGCACCCGGCTATATACACAATTTTGAATTCTTTGCACCATTTTGATACAAGCATGTATGTAAATGAGGCTTTGTAATACATTACATTCCAAGATGGTGAGCAAAAGGATTCATTTATCAAATGTGAGCCACCAAAAATAGGATTAGGATGAATTGCTTAAAGTTAGCCAACCAAAAATATGGCCATGTGTCATGAGACAGTAATTTTCAGAAACTAAATTTCATTATTTATTTTAAATTCTTTATTCCGTATATTATTTTACATGTTATAGCAAGTAAGGCGAGCCAGACGGCTGAGCGGTTAAGGCAGTGGCGCTGTAACCTACAGCCATAGTATTGGCGCTGGTTTGAACGGCACACTCGCCTATGGTTCCGGAGGTGGAACAAGTCTTCTAGAATAAGGAAATAAACCGTAGGCCCAGTTTACACAATTGGCTCCTATGCACTTTAAAGAACCCAGTATATCTTTCGAGATGAGTAGAGGGTTACCTTGGTGTGTTGGTCCATACAGCCCCTGGTACAGTGCAGTTATGGACCATTATGTCCTTTGCAGGATGTACTAACATAAACATATAGCAGGTTTAGGAAAAGCAGTAACATATTACCTTCATAGGTTACATATGGAATACGAAATCCTTTTGCAGTTCGTGCTTCATTTGATTTGAATTGGATCCATAATTTTCTGGTTTTCGCTGTAAATGCTAAAGGTGTTCTGTATGTCTCGCATGTTTCAAATGTGGTTGTAGAATGTGGTGATTCTGAAAACAATTAAAAACTTTATTATTTCTTATTCTTTTTCATTATTCATCTTTTTTTTTTTTTACTATGACACAAACTATAATGTGTCATAGTTTTATATTTCTGTTTTCCACAACACCTGGCCAATAAAAAAGGCAGACACATATGTAGTAAACTACATTTATTGTTGCACTCCATATAAAACGAGTAATTTCTATACCCTCCACAAAAATCATGTCATTTTATTTATTTATTTATTTTATTCAATCCTCAACCAACAGAGATAGAAACCCCCACTAACAGGTTGGTTGTTTGGTTCATCACTTCATGATGAATTCCAGCGAACTTTAATAAATAATAATAATAATAATAATATTAATGTTATATTTATATAGCGCATATTGCACATTGCCTCTATGCGCTTTACAGAGAAATAATAAAATGCTTTCTACCACAGCTCTTTACTTCATGTATATACCAATTATTATGTTAGTTTTCAATCAGTACAAAGACTATAATTAATTTATAATCGCAATATCTATCAAATCCCCAGATATTTAAATTAACCCAGGTCACTGTTAATTCCAGGTAAACAATATGCGACAATCAATTAACAATACAGTAGGTTAATAAATATCAAAATAGGAGGCCTGGGAAGTCACAAACTAATTAACAGTCTCTATAGTACAGTATTTTTGTTGCTAGGTGTAGGAAAATAGACCCCAAACACAAAAAGCCACCAAGAATAAGTCTTAAAAATATATAATAATACTATATATTATTTTTTATTATCATTATACATTACCTGTCCTTCGCATGACTAAGAAATCCTCACATCGGTCATCTATTTTACTCGGTAGATATATTTCTGGAAGGACTATCAGTATCCGCCGATTTGAGGGCGGTAATATTGTCCAAACGCATTCTACATTTGTTGGATAGTCGCCTGGATAGTTGGGACTCTCAATGAAGCCTTTTTCGGGACCAATAACGCCTCCGCACTGATGACCTAAAAAATCAACAAATATGAGGTTGGAATTCTGAGACAGAGAGAAATAACTAAAGATAGCATTGTAACAAGTTCACATGTTTAATTTTGGGCATAATTGATGAAGAGTTTTGATCAATTGTAAAAGGTTCTTCAAATAGACATTTTAATTGGCTGGTATACAGACATTTAAATTGATTGGTAATCAGTTCAAAGATATGCATAGTAAAGCCTGTTGATTAGCTAAAACTAAATTGTGTTTAATCTGTGTTTAATTGTAAGTTGATAACGTCCAATACAATCTCTTAAGTGAGTAATTCGATGGTTTAAATAAATTTTAATGTTTTACAGGCTTTACCTCAGGCAATAGTAGAACTCCTAACAACTACAGGACACATTCGAGACCAAAAAAAGTGTACTCTTAATTATAGGAGTGTCTCCTGAATAGGGGTTGGCCAAGTGTTAAAATGTATACTTTCCCTTGTTTAGTGGCCAAAAAAGTAGGCTTATCCCCTTAATAGGGA